CGAGGAGTCGCCTCCGCACAGGCCTCAGAGAAAAGAGAAAGCGACAGCGGCCGTTACCTGGAGTCGCCGGGGACAACGGCACCCACCCGCGAAAACCTAGTCAAACGGCAAGCGGCCCAGGCGCCCGCCACGGCGACCCTGCCCGACCCTCCAGAGCGCCGGCGCGCGCTTATAAGGTCACTTCCGCCAGTCCTGCGCCGGCTTCAGCGCGGGGCCGCGCCGGAGCGGCGGCCTGGGCAGTGCGGCTGCGTCACTTCCCGCGTTTCCTGGGAAAATCGGTTTGAGGGGAAGGCAGGACGGGGCGGGGCTACTCAGGAGTTCCGGGGCGGGGCCAGCTGGTCGGCGTTTCCCAATTGGTCGTTGCTGGAAGGGGCTAGAGGCTGATGGCTAAGCCGGCTCTCGGTGTGACCTCTGGCTGCGTACCCGCCTCTCCGCCTGTTTCTTCTTCCGTTGTAAAGATAACCTTTAAAAATTGTAAAGCGTATATTCATATAAAGAAGTGAGTACACACACGTCCGATGAACAGACCTTTATAAACCAAGAAGCCGAGTACTGCGGCCCGCCCCACTGCCCTGAGTTACGCGAGTGTTCCGCCGGCCACCGGCTGACGTCCCTCGCTGCGCCGCGCCGAGTTTGAGGACGTGCGCGCACCTCCCGCCGGGGCTACCGGGAGCGAGGCTCAGGGCACGTGCTCGCGCACGCCTCCTGGCGCAGTGCACGGCGGGAGCGCGCCGCGGTGCCGGGGGAGCCGAACGGCTGAGGCCTCGGGCGCACACCTCTTCAGCGAGGCCCGGCGATTTCCAAATGCCCGCTTACACTCCGATAGACGATTCGACTTTCCGTTGCTCGATGGTTTCCCCAATTCTTTTGTAGGGTCAGACTTTAAAATTTTTGTCCATCGAGAGTGAATTCGAGTGTTTTCTTAAGAAAACCCTGACGTATCCGTCAGCTTCCTTGGAGTAGGGGGCCCGGCGACCCGCGGACCTCTGCGAGCCGGGCTACGGTGCGCGCCCGGGCGACAGGAGGGAGCGCCGCCGGGCATCGGAAGTGGTGCAACTTCCGGCTGGGTCGCCATCTCGCCGTGAGACAGCAGGAGCGGGTGTCGGCGATGTTGTCCTCCGCTGCCGTGTCCTGGGGCGCAGGCCGAGACCTGGCGATGGAGCCGCACAGCGCCGGCCCCGTGCAGCTGCGCTTCTCGCCCTACGCTTTCAACGGAGGGTGAGGCCCCGGCAGTCGCTGCCGTCGCGGTCCCTGCTCGCGCCCTCGGTGTCGCG